ACACTACACCGCGCTTAAAGCAATGGTAGCGCAGGACTCGGAAACTATGACTCGGATAAATGAAGACTTCGATACCAAAAAAGTAAACAGTGTTTTAGCACTGTCATGTCAAACGAAGGTGCTGCTGGAATATATGCGGCCTATCATGATGTGCTGCAGCCAATTTAAGAAGGTTGGACGTAAATTGTGGGCCCGCAAGACTGTAGAGGAAATTCTGCTGGAAGAGACGAAAAAAATAAACTGAATTAAATTAAATTATATTTATATATACATATGTATATATATATAAATATATATAGTCTTACAGTTCTGTACGCGCGAGCCTTACGGGCTGAATGCAAAGCCGTAATGTAAATAACTTACCACACCATACCACATAAAACGTAACGCAATATATTATTATTAATTAATATTAATCAATTAATTATGATTAATAAATGTATTACGTTTATTTAAAAATTTAATAATATATAATATATATTTATTTTACAAAAATATTCTTTCCATACTATTGAATTTGTTTTGTCAACGATGGTTCTCTGAAGCATAGGCAAAAGATCCGTAATGTTACGGCGTTGGCCGCGGAAAAATTCAGGAACAAATGGTGCACCACGGATGGACGGAATTCAAATTTAAAATTTACTCAGGTCATTTTATTTAAATGGAACACCGGCGCGGATTCGGAAACCGACGCACGAACCGGATCGCCTACGGGAACACGACTACGGATAGCCTTCCCAAGTTAATTTCCACTACCTCAGCAGCGACGCTGATGACTTTGACCTTTCTACGGACAGTGGAGAACTATCCGGCCATATATCCGACCCGTCCTCGGTGTCTGTCGCGTCGACGGTGACAACAATCGTCAATGTGTAGCCGAATATATTCTTAGCAACATTATAATGACAACGACATGGCCGTTGACATCACAAAACAGCATACATTTGGGGCGACACATGAAGAGCGTCTTTCCGTTGGAGTCTGTAAATCGGGCGCAGAAACTATTTACTTGTTATAAAAACAGGGTTCGAGTCGAGAAAAAGTGGACTAAAAGCAAGACTGCCAAGTCAGACAGTGTCGCCGCTGCTGCTGCCCCTGTCTCTTACGCCATCAACAACGGCACCAATCCAAACGATCCTGCTTATGAGGGGTTACTAGGGTATGAATTTATGAAATGGGTATTCGTATGGGTATGTATTGTAAATGTATTTAAATCGATCGTCGTTCTCTTTCGTGACCAGACCCCATTTTTTTGCATAAAAAACCGGTGTTTTTATACCCGATACTCAAAATGAGTATTGGGGTATATTAGATTTGTGGTAAAAGTGGATGTGTGTAACGTCCTGAAGGAATCGTTTCCGACCCCATAAAGTATATATATTGTTGATCAGCATCAATAGCCGGTCGAAAAAACTTAAAATCAAGACTTTAAACAAATTTCAAGAAGTTAGTTCTCCTACTTCTTTCTCCTGCTCTTCTTAATGCTCAATGCTAAAAGAACTACATATATCGATGCAGGACACATTTTTCACAGGACCTTAAACAGTTTTACAGCTTCGTAAACAGTAAGCGTAGAAAGTCGGCACACCCATCCTAGCTATCACTTCTTAATACGTCGGCAAATAATGGAGATCATTATTTGCCGACCTTTTTGCCCAATTTTTCTAAACCACATATTCTAAGGAAAGCTACTCTGGTCATCCATACCCATACGGTTTACCGAGGTCTAACGGAATTTTCAGTCCCTTGTTAAATGAAATTTCTCCGCTGTTTTCACTTTGTACAGACGGCACTCCAGGCTGTGTACTCAGGTAATGCGCCGACGATCTGCGTGGACCCTTGCATAAACTATTCATCCTATACATTGATACTTCTTGCTCCCCCGATCTGGAAGGAATCGTTTCTGTCCATAAAAAAGGTAGCAAGTCTGACGCAAAAAATTATAGAGATTTATCAAAGTAATCCGCCATACATGAAATGTTTGAGAAAATTTTGACTCCGCACCTGCAACATCTCTGCAAGGCACTGATATCTCCAACTCAGCATGGATTTATAAGGCGGCGATCAACAACCACGAACTTGTTAGAGTTTAACTCTTTAATTAATAAAGGCTTTCACACCGACCTTAATAAAGCATTCGACTCTGTAAACCATTCCCTTTTAGCGCATAAACTTGAGCTTTTAGGGTTTCCGCCCAACCTCCTGAGATGGCTTCCCAGCTAAATTTGTTCCAGGGCTCAAAGAGTCCTCTTCAAAAACTTCCTCTCTTCACCAGTAAAGATTGTTGCCATCTAGGCCCCTTACTGTTCACACTCTTTATTAATGACTTGCCTTCGGTATTAACATACTATCGAGTACTTACGTATGCGAATGATGTTAAACTCTGTGTCCAGTATAATGACATTTCATTTCATTCTCGCTTTCAATCCGATCTCAATAACTGTCAGTCATGGTGTTATGCAAACGTGTTACACCTTAATGCCTCGAAATGCAAAATAATGGCATCTCATCGTTCTAGCCCCTTGTTGTCTCCCTATAACCAATATGGTGGTTCTCTTGAGAGAATTACCCTGGTAGATGACCTTGGCCTTATATTAGACGCCAAGCTAAAGTTTTCTGCGGGTGTTAGACTGCCATCTTACTCTTGTAGACTGCTATTAGTAAACCTCCCATCCTTTGTTAAGCGTAGAAAAATGCTTGGTGTCATTTTTATTCACTACTTTGGCTTTCGGCCAAAGAAAATCGTCCAAAATGTTCTTCAAACATGCTGCTTTAGCTAAATTTTCATACATGCATACTGTTGAAACATGGAAACATTCAATTATATGGGCCAGAATCATGTATCGAGAAAACGAGCAGCATGTCCCGCAACATGGACAACATTCTGCATACCCTAGGGAAAAGGGTATTATGGAATTGCGGAAATGTTTGTCATCCCAGACTCTCATGAATGCATAAACTAGTCTCTGTTTAAAAGGTATTTCTCTTAAAGAGACCAAGAATAAGTATCGGGATCAGGATATACAGGACACTAATCAAATGCATGAATACGTCTAAAACATATCATATTGAGAAAATTGTTTTTATTAATTACGTTCTAAAACAGTATCTTTATATAAAATTAACAAAATATGGTATACAAATTACTCCGGTTGACAAGTCTTTTAAATACCAACAATATTGACAAGACAACATTGCGACTGTTTTGTTGTTGAACTTTTTGGTTTAAACCTTGTTTTGGGCAAAATAAAATAAAAACGAGGGGGAACGTTGTGAGTTGCTGCGGACACCGCAACTCTACAGTTATACCCGATACTAAGTCAGTATGGCTCTCCTCCGGCAGACGCCGCTAATATTAAACGACACGACAAAGAATGCGTGCGGGAGAGACAGAAAATCAGTCTGAGCGTGACGTCGGGCGCTGCGTAGCCACTGCAAATTGATTTCTTGCTTTTGGCTACAAAAATGATGATGCGTTTTTAGTTTTCTCGAATGTGCAATATTGTGGGTGCAACAGATTTTCCTTTGTGGGGGCGGAAGGGGGTGGGGCGAAATTCTGAAATATACGTTTTATATTGTTTTATATACAGAAGTGCGGATACCAAATTTGGTTACTCTAGTTTTAATAGTCTCAGAGATTTGTGGATGCCCCAGATTTTCGTCCTTTGCGGGGGCGGAAGGTGGTGTGGTGAAATTTGGACACGAAACGGTCAAGGTCCGATATCACAGGAGTGTGGATACCAAATTTGGTTGCTCTGGCTCTTATAGGTTCTGAGATCCCTGAACTCATATTTTGCAATTGGCAAAACCGACCATGCAACCTGTGTGTTAGAGAGAGACAGAGCGAGAAAGAATAAAATTGTTTTCATGATTCTGGCTATAATAATTATACGATCTGGTTGAGATTTTACACTCTAGAACATATAGTTATCCTCTACGATTCTGCGTTTTTGGTTTTATCGTATCTTTAACAATGTGGATGCCACAGATTTTCGTCCTTTGTGGGGAGGAAGTGGGCGGGGCGAAGTTTTGAAATATTTTTGTAGCAGTGACATATCACAGTAGTCTGGATCCAAAACATCGTTGCTCTAGCTCTTATAGTCTTTGATCACTAGGCGCTGAAGGGGACGGATAGACGGACAGACGGACAGACAGACGGACAGACAGACAGGGCTCATTCGACTCGGCTATTGATGCTGATCAAGAATATATATACTTTATGGGGTCGGAAACGATTCCTTCTGGACGTTACACACATCCACTTTTACCACAAATCTAATATACCCAAATACTCATTTTGAGTATCGGGTATAACAAGGACCAAAAACCAGCCAATCTTGTAGAAAATTTATTCATCAATGGGATAAAAATATGTGGGCAGAGCTAAGAGTCTTAGTTAGCCATAGCTATTCAACGGAATATCAAAATTGAGTAATAGGAACGATATTTCTCTTTCGTTTTTTGTTTGTCCTTTTTGGCCAAAGCCTCTTTTTAGAAAAAATCCAATAAAAGGAAGTATTTAAAATGAGCCAGTCAACTAGGAAATTAATTCATCAATCAGGTAAAATTATGTGTTCATGGCTGAGGGTTTTGCCTAGCTAGTTATGTTAAATGAAATATCAAAATCGACGAATTTGACTTCCGATCATGCTCAGAGAACAATTAACCCATTGTTGAGCAGTGGGTATTAAAATATTCTCCACGAACATGATGTCTCTAAAAAAAGTTTCCTCAGTTCAGGTGAAAGATATAGTGGTCTTTTTATTTTGTAAGTATTTGACAGTGACAGTATTTACAAGAAGAATTTACAAACAGTAATGTTTTCCGCGGCTTAACTCAAGCTGCACACCTGTTTAATTCAAAGGGGGGTTAAGTGGGTTAAATCTGTTTTTTCATCGGTGGAAATCCATCGATGCTTGGAGCTATCGATGTTTTTGATGGTAGCTTCGATGATTTTCCACCTCTATCGCAAACAACAACACAAGAAAAACAACAAGCGAACCGATCGATGCGTTGAACGAGCGGTGAAAATCGGTTTGACGGAAACGAATAGTTAACTAAATAGAAGTCCGTGAAAAAGTGATAAAAATACAAGATTGTGAAAGCTGGGGGAGAATGTTTTCGTTGCATTTCCGTTGCTAACGTTTGCGCACTCTCTTGCTCTCTCTCTCCCTGTCACTATTGTGCGCGTGCCTGTGTGAGTGCGTCTTGCAGTCAATTGTTTACAAATAAATTGTTGTTACAAACGTGCAAAAGAATTGCCGGAAAATCACGAATTTCCCCATGAATTCCACCGTTAAATGTCGCCCAACAGTGCTGTCGCTGTCGCTGCTGGCGCTGACTGCTCTGCTTCTGCTCCCGGGCAGTGGAGTGTCCGGGCATCTAAATGTCTTCCTGAATCCGGAGGAGGTGATGCGGCTGCTGGGTGAGTACATTGCACATTGAAACAACAGCAACAATTTGTGTCAAAGAAGAGGAAACATTAAAGTTTTCATTCAACGTAGGAAGGCACGCTGCTTTTCTCCTGAAAAATTATGTGTACATATGTATTTGTTTTAGCTTAATTTAGATTCCCTCTCTCTGTCTTGCGTCCCTTGAATGCCGTCTGTCTGCTCTCTGTCTCTCTCTCTTTCTATCTTACAGGTGTTGTTAAACAGTAAAATAAATAAACAAACGCAAACAAAAACAAAAAAAACAACCATGCTGAAGAAATTTTACGCTTCGTAAATCAAAAGAAGAAGAAGCGAAACGAGAAGGAGATGCAAAGAGAGACACGCAAAAATAAGCATTCAAATTTTGTATTTTTGAATATTTCTTGGAACTGAAATTCCTTGACTCTGGGGTCCCAGCCTCCACCCCCTTCGCCGGAAACGCGCGAACATGCTGCGAGAGGCAAAGGCAGAGCCAAAACGTGACTTTGTGCATTGGCGGGAGGGGAATATGCAAGGGGTGGCAGTGGGGGCACGGCATGCAGTGTCAGCTGTGTGTGGGGTGGATGCAAAGGCACAGTGGAACGAATCGAAGGAACAAAGACATATAACAAAGAGAATTTAAGCATAGTTACACCGTAAATCAGTTAAATATCGAACAATTCCCCCGTGTTCGTGTTCCATCTTGTTTCATGCCCTCTATTTTTTTTTGTACGAGCATCTTTAATACCATCTGCATCCTCTCGTATGCGCACGATAGTTTTGCCCACTGTGCCTGTCAGGGCTCAGCGCTTGTGTTGGGCTCTGCGCTCAGCAGTATTTTTGGCAGTCGTCGTCGCCTTTCGGATGACAAGCCCCTCCCCCGCTCACCCTTCCAGCCCTTCCACCCTTCCCCTGCAGTGATTGTCGTTTCGGTTGTGGCTCTTGTTGTTGCAGCTTTTGGCATGCAACGTGCTGCCGTCCCGCCGCTGCTTGTTAAATCGAAGTTGCCTTTTTCTAGCCAAATGTGTGTGTGGGAGCACTTCTTCGCTCCTTCCGCCGAGCCCCAAACGCCGAACGCCGAACGCGGAACGCCGAACGCCAAGCGATAACTATGGCATGTGCATAATTTTGCGTATTTCGTTTCGGGGGCGTCGCATCAAATATGCAGAATACTCGAATACTCGTTCGAATTCGGATTTCTAACTGTGGCCTCTGTGAGCTCTGTGGGCTCTGTGGGCTCTGTGTGCACCGTGCACCGTGGGCTCAAAACACTCAACATGTGGAACGGGGGAAGGGGGAGGAAAACTTCTTCTGCGTGTGTGTGGGGGGGACTGTGGACTGGGGGTATGTAATTAAGACAGAGCTGAAAAGTTTGCAGACCCGCCCGCCCGGAAAATGCGTGCGGTTTATACAATAAAGAAATGCAAACGCACTCCGCGGACTGCCATAAATCAATTAAGCTGCATAATTTGCATTTGATTTGTGTGCAGCGCAGCCGAGGAGCAGAAGAATGCCGGGCAGGGGCAGGGGCGGGGGCAGGGGCGGGGCGGGCGCAGTGCCAGAGAAGGGTTGCCGTTGCGGCAGTTGCCAAAGAAAAAAGGCTTAAATATATTTCATTTGCATTTAATTTATAGCCCGCAGATGATCGCACAGGAGACGAACACAGAGAACATCCAGCTCCTTCCCCTTCTCCATCCCCGTGCAATCCACGGGGGGTGTCTCCGCAAAAGCTCGATGGTAAAAACTTTGAGTCATAAAATCCGTGGGGCAAGGCATCTGACAGCGCAGCGCGACATGAAATACGATCCCCGTCTGATGGGTTGGCCGTACACGATCCACTCCATCCACACGATCCACAAGAGCATCCACTCCCTCCCCGCCGAGTGATTTCCACTTCGATTCCAATCATAAACACCCGAAATAATGCGCGTTGTCGCGTTTGCCGCTGCTGTGACACGCGCTACATTTTAAATACCCAAAAATGCATTCAATTCAAAGTTTAATTTAATTTTACTGCCTTTGGGGTCACTGAAACAATTTCCCCGTAGTTTTCCTCGCCTTTTAATGGCCCTCTTTGGGTGCTTTGGCTGTGCTTTGATTTTTGATGCCATGGAAATTAAACTTAGACTTCAATTAAAGGAAACTTGAAAGTAGACGATCTCCGGAGGAACGAAGTTCTCGGGCACGTTTCTTCACACTTGGCATGGCGTGGAATGGAGTGGAATGGAATGGAATGTAACGCTGCGGTGCTAAAACGCTGCCACGCCCACCAATGGCAGTGCCATGATCGATTGGCGGCCAATCCAAGCCATAAATTAGCTCCCAAACAAACCGGCGATACATTTTGTAGCACAAGAGAAGAGGCAGGGTAGGAGGAGGGCAGGAGGAGGAGGAGACTCGGGTGCTCGAATGCTCGGATGTGTTAGATCTACCACCAACTGTGTTAAATAAATTGAGAGCTTCGAGTCGCTTGGAGGGGCTTTTGTTTAGGCCAATTTAAATATTTTCATATTTGCATAGGTATCCCCCTCCGTCCCCCATTCCGCCAGGTATTGATGGGCTTCGTATTTGAAGTGAGCCGCGGCTAAGCGGCTTACACGGCAAACAAGCTGGCAAGTATCTGTATCTGGGAGATACACACAACGAGCGAGCGCTACTGTGGCAACTTTTAGCACCTATACTGCTGCTGCTGCTGTTGTTCGGAGTATCTGCCGGATGGCCATAACAAGCCACAGGCCCGGCTTGTACGCGTATCTCGTTTATGTTCGAGTCGCAAGAGTCGTGTTCTTGTCGAACGTTGTGCTCCCCGGCTCCTCTCTGCGGCCACTGTCTTGGCCAAGATCGGGCCAAGACGATAATTGGGAAGGAACGAGAGGCAGCCTGCCCCATCTTCCCCACCTTCCCCACTTTATCGTGCTAAAAGCCTTCCACAAACTGCCTCCGATCCCCCGCGAGGCTGCTCTCTCTCTCTCTCTCTCTCTGATATGATCAGGAGGCATGATCTATATTTTAATTGGAGCCTGCTGCAGTGACTCCTAGTGGCTCCTCCACATAATGAAGTGGCCATTAGCTAATGAAGCTGTCGCCCTGTCCCACCCCGAAAGCGGTTTATGAACATCGCGTCACCTTTTGCCACACGATGTGCCGGAGTTAACAGCTCTCCAGACACCCGACAGATCGTAAAGAGTGCTGCAAACAGCTGTCGCTGCTCAACAGATCGTCTATCGTTATCTCCTTGAACCATCAACGTTTCGCTGGAATGGTGCTGCTGATCGGATGATGTCTCCGTTCGTTTATGGCAACTTTGTACGAGTACAGTGAAACGGAAGCTTATCGAATACCTTTCTGGATCTGAACTATCTTTACTCTCTCGTGGTGCAAAGTGATTCCACAAGACATCGACCGATTATCTCCGGCCTCCCCGATGATCTATCATCGACCTCTGATCACTTCCTCCGTTCAGTCGTTAGAGATCTTTATCTTTAAGGCTTAGGCCTTTCGTACGTGACTTGCGCGTCGGCTGCCCAAATGTTTGTTCCCAAATAGATTTGATTTTCAATCAATTTTTAATCGTGTATCTCGGATCGCGGTTCACGGATCATGGATCATGGATCATGGATCATGAATCGTGGAGGGTGGGGCTTCGGCCTCGTATCGGTTTCAAATCGATTTGATGGCCACTTGGCAGGTCGTAAAGTGGCACAAACCACACCACAGATCTCTGGAGATCTCTAATATCTCTCTCTCTCTCTCTCTCTGAGATTTCTTTCGGCTGTGAAGTGTCGCATTACAGAGACATTTGGAATATGTCTATCTGTATATGTGGCTGCGATGTGATTAGAGGAGGAGCAGAGGGGCGGGGCTGTCGGCAGCCATAAACTTGGCTAAGCCCGCGCTTAAAGCGAATGCCTTTTCCATTTTAATTTCCATTTCCATATGGATTTGCATGCAGAACTATTAATGGCAAAAGAGCGGCATTTAAATAAATGAAAATCGCATAAACCGATTGTGCAGCAATAAAAGCGACTGCCACACTGCCATCGCAAATAAACAAAAGGGTTTTCCGACGCACAGTGGGGGGCGAATGGGAGCGGGAGTGGGAGTGGGTCCAATGTGGGACTCCGCTCGTCAAAGGCTTACATTGAGAGGCGGTTCTGGGTTCTGGGCTCTGGGCTCTGGATTCTGGGGGCTGCGGTTATCACTGAGGAGCACTGACAGTAACTCTGATAACCCCGCCGCGGGGCATGCAGCAGTGGCAGCAACACGGAGCATGTCAATAATAAATATCATCCATTGTTTGCATCCTCTGCCCCTTCCAGTGCTTTCCAGTGCCCTCCCCTGCCCTCGTCCCATACGCCGCGTATTTGTACAATCTGTACACGCATCCATCCACAGAATACGAATACGAATACGAATACGAATACGAGCATACATGCATGTACATATATGCATATAGTATGGCAAAAAGGAATAATCATATTTACATTAAACAACAACAGAGAGGGGGGGGGGGATCCCTCTCTCTCTCTGGGACGGGGCTGGAGAGAGAGTTTATTTCCATGTCACATGGATGACATGGGTGCCATGATGGGGGCGTGGTGCAACAGTAAAGATGCAGATGCACGTATCCACGTATCCACGTATCCGCGTATGTGTATATCTATCTGCCGCTCGTCTGTTTATTGAGTTGTACGGGTATGCTGTTTATTTGGGTTACGCGAGTCGCTGTGTCGCTGTGCCGCTGTGCCGCTGCGTCGCCGTGGGAGTTTTCCGCTGCAGAAAAGCGCCGCTTGCATGGGGCATGCTGCATGGGGAGGAGCAGTGCCACCGGCGGAAGGGCAACGGCACAATGGCAATGGAATGTACATGCATTTGGCCTGTATCTCTGCCACATGCTTCGTTAACTACGCGGCACAGTATCTGGGGGTATCTGTGGGCTGCATGTGAGGCTGCCAACACGATTCGCTTGACAGCCCACAGTTCCCACAATCGATGCGAAATTCGTGATCAAGTTTTGAAGTATTGGAATAGATTGCACTTGCAATGGGAGATACGGATCTCCCATGATACGAATTTGTGTCTCAGTGTCACCATTTAATGGATGCAGATGCATCTTGGGTGCTCTGTTGCCTGCGGGATGCATTTCCATTCTCAAAAAGAAACAACTACCTTTGGAAGACGCAGCGATGCTCGAGAATGGCGAAAACAACATTCATTGCATGTGCATGATTCTGGGACTCGAGTGCTGCTGCTTTCTGTGCTCTACAGATACATTTGCCAACGATACGAATAGATGTGTATCTTTAAATTTGGTGTCTGCTCGAGAGATACTTTTGTATCTTTCTCTGCCAAAGCTATGCCCCTATTCCCACAGACACTCTGCCACTCTGAGGCATAACCAGAAACCGTAAGCTTGTGTCTAATAATATGTTCCATGGCAATGCAGTGGATGTCCCAGTCCCAGTCCAAGTCCAATTATATCTTCACACCACACCACACCACTCTTCGCTCTTGACCCGCATCATCTGCCGCATCTTTCTGACGGCCACTCAACACCGAGCGACAGCCCCCCAGACACAGATACGAAAAGCCGCCAAGAAATGACTAACGATTAAGGTTAATTACTATTGATTTTGGCCATTACAATAAGCCGAGCTGCCTAGCCGCCGAGCCGACGAGCCGCCGAATGGAGCGGCCATAACGCTTTTGTCAGCCTCAGCGGCGAGAAAACGTCAACTCGAAAATTTGAATGATTAATTTGAGCTAATTTTGAGAGCCACAGCTAAAGACAGAGCCAAAGCCAGAGCCAAAGACAGAGCCGAAGACAGAGCCAGCGTCAGTGCCGGAAGGGAGAACGAAATCTGCGCCGCGTTAACTGTGCCAAATCGCTGAAGCTGGAGCTGGAGATGGAGCTGGAAATGGCTAATTCCGTTGCCAACAAATTTGTTACAATCAAAAGCCGAAGCCCCAAGCCCGCGGCCGCGGCCGCTGCCGGGCAGGGATCGAGCGGCGCAGGGAGCCGCAGGGAGCGGGACAAAGGAGAGCGAATCAGGGGGAATCATTTATCATAACGACGACGTGAGGCAACTGAGCAACGATTCGCAGATACGAGTAGTAGACACTAGATACGGATGCTGGGCAGGAGATGATGTGGCTCGAAAACATGTTAAATGTTGACATGTGGTGGGCGTCCCTGGGGGTGGAGTTGCAGGCCTGGAGGCGAGGTTGTTGTGGGTTGTGCGTGGATAAGGGTGGGGGCGGGCGGGTCCTGGCAGGCGCCGATCATTTGTTTTATTTATTTTTCGATTTGGGCACAAACTGCACAAAAGAGTCCCAGCCTCAGACACGAAGGGGAGCTGGGGCTGGAGCCAAAGCCCAGGCCAGAGCCAATGCAGCAGCCAAAGTGACATATTAGCCATTAGATGGGGGTTAGAGATGGCGCTGGAGCTGAGGCTGGGTTCAATGCGGTTCACGGTGCAGATGGAGTCCCTGTACATCATTTATCATCTATTGCAATTTGGTCTTGGGTTGGTTATTGGATAAGAGATGAGAGCGGGAGAGAGGGAGAGCGGCAGAGGGTTCGTCGCCTGCCGCCACGCACGGGTTCGTCGTTTTCTGGGCCATCGCTTGAGGGTAGTCCCCGGATGAGCCTGGGATATTTGTCAAATCGGGAAGCTGGTGATAGCAGATACCTTATGCAAACGGATGGATACTTCGATGGCATCGAAGGAGTCATTAGGCCCAGAGGTGGGACACACTTTCCTGGCTTCCTTTCTCTTCTTGGGTATCTACTGGAGGGTTAAGTCCCGCAGACGATACTCGTACTACTCTCTATACATTTCGAGACTCGTTGCAATCGGATCAGTAATACAGACAGAATTGTGAAAACAAGTTTCCCGTCTCTCTCACAAAGTAGCTTAGCACTTAAGAGTGCCATCTCCGACTGGTTTCCGCTGTATCTGTTTGGTTCCCTTTGAATCTGTCTCCTCCCAGATATGTGCTGTATCTTTTGGTACATTTTGTATCTTGTGGTGCCACCAGAAGTGGAGAAGTGGAGGTTGTATCCACTCGCAGTCTTCCGCTTGCAATCCCAAAACACACACACACACACACACACACACACACACACACACACACACACGTGTTTCCGCCACATGTTTCCCATTGCCCCACTCCCTGCCCCAGAAGTGCTCCAGAGTTATGAGAATGCTCAGCCGCTGACCCCTGGATGACCCCACAGAAGACTCTGGGCTGAGGCTGGGACTGGGACTGGGACTGGGAAAAATCAGCATAGGAAATCGGCGCTGCGGAAAGCACTTCACGAATTGCAACGCTAATTACATGAAAATGGAAACTAAACCGCAAACATTTTAACATTTTTTGAGTGTCTCCAGAGCTCCAGTTGCAGTTCCTTCTATCTGGTCTCTCGTCGCTCCCCTTCCCCATCCCCATCCCAGTGGGGCACGGTGCAACAATGGTCACGACTCCACGCTGTGCAGATACACTCGTACCGCGGCAAGCGCAGTAGCCAGAGAGCTATTAAAAAAAGGTTGCAAAAAGTACTCGTAGCGACAGCGACAGCGACAGACACAGCCACAGCCACATCGACGGCGTCATGACTGCACGCTCTGAAAATTCGACATACGATATACTGGGAGAGAGATCCAAGCCCGACTCGGGGATAGACTCGACTCCTGCCACTGCCCCTGCCCCTGGCCGTGCCGCTCCTTCACGGACAACATGGCACGCCCAGAAAAGAGGCAGAAATACAACAGAGCCGAAGCCAAAGCCGGAGCCAGAGCCAGAGCCAGAGCCAGTTATGAACATGCCGGATAATGCCACATACAAAAGGTTAAAGAAGTTCAAGAGCCGACACATGCGCCGGGCACATGCAAGTGACATTTGCTCGTGACATGAGGCAGACGCAGGCAGCGACGGCGATGCCACTCGAAGACGCCTCGCCTCCTTGGCCCTTGGAGGCCCCTAAGCTCACCGTTCACCTTCTCCTCGTACAAATGCAATAAAGCGAAACTTTCACATGAACCTGTGAACCCTCAGCCTCAGCCACAGCTACAGCTTCACCTTCAAGCTCCCAGCTCCAGCCCCATGTACCCGCGTGGAGGCAGGGGTCAATGGGAGTGTGCCCCGACGAGGCCTGGCCCGGGCCTGGAGACAGGACGCGTTGCATTTGATTAAGTCATGGGCGCTATTTTTAAAATGCTGGCGAGGAATGTGAACAGACTCGACAGACGACAACGTGCAACATGTTGCACGTTCGCGAGGCAGCCACAGCCAGGGCGCGTCTATATGCAGCAGTGCCTGACACAATTTATATGCCACCCAGTGGAGTCATTTGCCTAGGGGCAACCTCCACAGCCACAGCCACTGCCACTGCCACATCTACTCGTACGTCCCCTTTCTGGTCTATGTCTGGCCGCTGATTTTTATTGTTATTGCCAGTTGTCAAAGGAGAAAGGAAGAAGGAAGTGCGCTCGTGCCTGCTTCTGCTGCAATTTTCGTAAATTATTTCCTGTGCCACAGTTTGCTGCAAGCCCCCACGGAGCTCCAATCAGGGAGGTGAATGCACTGGCAGGCGAGAAAGATGCGGAATAGGGAAACGAGAGTCCGTCAATCGCGGCTTCGATTCTCTTAAGGGCCTGTGTGTGGTCTTCGAAGGAAGGTCTACCTGCTGCCCCTGCCACTGCCACTGCCACTGCCACTGCGTCATTATCATTAGCATAAGATATCATAACAAGCCAAATGAGTTGGCAATCGGTGGCAGACATATCCAAGCTGAAGCCGAGGCTCAAGGAAACCCAGCAGCAGAAGCCTCATTAACTCGAGACGGGAGACGGGAGACGCGAGACGCAAGACTCGAGACTGGAACCGGGTCAAACCGCAAAGAACAATATTTTAATAAACCAGAGACAGACAATCCAGGCGGACAATCTACAGATATAGGGATACAGATACAGATACAGATACAGATAGAGAGCGAAGAAATCTCAGTTTGTTTGTTCTGTTCTGTTCTGTTCTGTTCTCTACTGCCTCTTGTCTCGTTTTGTTTCTCCTGAAACCCGCTGTGCCACTGCCTGGGCCCGCGTCGTTCTACATAGATGTTCAGCTGCAGATACAGCTACAGGCACAGATACAGATACGGATAAAACCGAAAATAGTTTCCAAGGAATTCCCTAAAATCTCCCCTCCTCTCCTCCGCACTCCACTCCACTCCCATGTTTATTTATTTATATAAAATGTTGCCAGCGACTGTCGGTGGGATCGGGTTGAGCAAACAAAACCCCAGAAAAGCAACCATGTATGTGTGTATCTTCGGGATAGTATCTCATTGCCGGGAGTGCATCTGCAAGATGGACTTATGTACAGGCAAGCGGGATGGGAATGAGTATAATCAGGCCCCTGCGCACCCCACAATTAACTCCAGGCTCAAGTTACTTATCCGATATAATAGTCAGTGGTTCCTAATCGATTGTCGACCTCCTCTTTCCGCAGGTGTATCCGCTGAGGTGTACTACGTGCGCGAGGGACTGATCAACAACTACGCCCTGAACTTCATTGTGCCAGTGCCCGCGAATGTGCGGGACATCAGCTTCACGTGGCAGTCGCTGGCCGGGCGGGGGCTGCCGTACAGCATCAACGTGGTCAGCTCCGACCAGGAGGTGCTGCCGCGGCCGTCGCTGAACGTGTCCCACAGCGGGGAGATCCCCACCTACATCCAGACGTGGGCCATCGAGCTGCGGTGCAGCGGAGTGCGGGCGGCGGAGGTGGACGTGACCGTCAGCCTGGAGGTGGTGCTCAACCGGTCGCTGAACAACGTGACCCATCTGGTGTTCCGGCGGAAAAAGATCTGCCTGCTCAACGATAGCGAGGGGGGGGACGAGGACCAGCAGCAGAGCGGGGCTGGGGAGGACGTGGACGATCCGCTGATGCTGGAGACTGTGCTGTCCCCGCCGACGGGCCTGATAACCCTCGTGGTGGGTGTGTCGGTGGCCATGGGCTCTGTGTGTTTCCTCCTGATGATCGCCTACTGCGTGCGGGGGGCGGCCAACAAGCGGCAGCAGCACCAGCACGGGGGCCAGCCCATGCGGACCTCGAGCTTCCAGCGCCTGAACACCCATCCCTCGATCCATCCCTGCCAGGCCTCCCTGGGCGGAGGCTCCGCCGCCTACATGACGCCCTCTATGATTGCCCCCGTGCACGGGTCATCGCTGCCGCGCAAGGTGGCGGCTTCCGTGGAGCAGCAGCAGCATCCGGAGGAGCTGCATCGCCGCATCTCCGAGCTGACGGTGGAGCGGTGCCGCGTGCGCCTGTCCAGCCTGCTGCAGGAGGGCACCTTCGGGCGCGTCTACCGCGGCACCTACAACGACAACCAGGACGTCCTGGTCAAGACAGTGGCCCAGCACGCCAGCCAGATGCAGGTGCTGCTGCTCCTCCAGGAGGGCATGCTGCTCTACGGGGCCTCCCACCCGGGAATACTCTCGGTCCTGGGCGTCTCCATCGAGGACCACACCACTCCGTTCGTCCTGTACCCCGCCCTGAACAACACGCGCAATCTGAAGCTCTTCCTGCTGGACCCGGCCTGCGCACGCACCGTCACCACCATCCAGATCGTGATGATGGCCTCCCAGCTCTCGATGGCTCTGGACCATCTCCACAGCCATGGGGTGGTCCACAAGGACATTGCCACGAGGAACTGTGTGTAAGTACAGAACACGAACGAGAACGAGTCTTGAGTCTTCCGCTGGGGCCTATGCTGATGGAAATCGGGATCTCTTTTCAGGATCGACGACCAGCTGCGAGTCAAGCTGTCGGACAGCTCTCTGTCGCGCGACCTCTTCCCCTCGGACTACAATTGCCTGGGGGACAGCGAGAACCGGCCCGTCAAGTGGATGTCGCTCGAGGCCCTGCAGCACAAGCAGTTCTCGGAGGCCAGCGACTCGTGGGCCTTCGGGGTGCTCATGTGGGAGCTGTGCACCTCGGCCAAGCAGCCCTACGCCGAGGTGGATCCCTTCGAGATGGAGCACTATCTGAAGGATGGCTATCGCTTGGCCCAGCCCTTCAACTGTCCCGACGAGCTGTGAGTATCTGAATGCGCGCGAGGAGAGAGAGCACTTCCCTTGACTCCCCTCTCTTCCAACAGGTTCACCATCATGGCCTACTGCTGGGCCCTTCTGCCCGGAGAGCGTCCCACCTTCGCCCAGCTGCAGTCCTGCCTCTCCGACTTCTACTCACAGATCACGCGCTATGTCTAGGACGATCTGGAGGGTGTGCCCAAGGCCTGAACCTCTCCATCTGTCTATTTTTAGTTAGTCGAAGTCCTGCAGTCTAATTTAGTTTAGTTTAGTTTCGTTAGCTTTGTAACGATATCTGCCAAATCGAATGTTCGCCTGTATATATACATATATGTAGATTATGGATAGACCTACTCTAAGATCATCGAAGGAAAGACTCAACTTTTATCACACATAGAACGTACAGCATAAAACATTTAATACACATATAACGGTAGATTTCAGATACTTATTTACGTACATATGAACGGCATCCAGCATCAATCCACTAGCTAAAGAACCTAAAGAACCTACAGAACCGAAAATCAAATATAGTGATATTTATCAATAGCATTTACGAGTAGAGAAACGGAACACGTATTTATCTGAAAAGTGCACATGGATGTGGATCGATAGCATGATCTGAATTTTGGTACATTTACCGTTTATACGAGAGATTAAAACATGATATACACAAATATATACACCACTGAGCCAAAAGACTCCCGCAAATAAGTGTTTTATTCGAGTTTTCGATTTTATTATGGTCTCATGGTTGAACTTTACAGATCCCGCCCTTGCCCTCTGAACTCAGAGGTTTTCTCACACATTTCTTTCCACTTTTCCAGTGAAAATTGCCCAGCAAATGAGGGAAATTTACGACTCTGCTGGCCGCAGCGTAACTGGGAAATGGGTATGGAAATGCGACAAAAGACAAATGAAACGCAGGCACGTCCCTACTTGAAAAAAAGTGAGCAAGTAAAGGACAGGAAGGGACAGCCAACAAATTCACGTTCACGCACACAAATTAGCCATAAATTTTAATTTTACATGACAATGTTTTGCCAGCGCAGTGACGGAGGGACAGAGGGACAGAGGGAAACCCGAAGGACAGAAGCGCCTACGCCTACGCCTAAGAGGAGGCAGTAAAATGAATCAATTTTCCTGTGTGTGCCTCGTCCTTGGCTAAGTAATGGCCGCCACGGACGAGGTCGAATATATTGTTGCGGGTCCTGGGAAAAGTGTATCCCGCAAATAGCATGTGCTACACATGTCCTGCGACGTCCTTGCCCGCCCTGGCTGTTGGCTGTTGGCTGTTGGCTGCTGGCTGTTGGATCAGCTATTGTGTGTGCTGTGTGGGTGGTCCTTACGCTTTAGAAGCCAGGCGGCAAGCAGGCAGGCAGGCTGGCTGGCTGGCAGGCAAGGCCAGAGGATAGAGACCGGAGACGACGACATATCGTAAATATTTTGACAGAATCGCCTTTTGCTTTTGCTGTTGCTGTTGCTGTTGGCTTGGCGTTTCGGCCATTGTATTGCCAGCTTCTATACGTCTTATCCTTGGCATGAGGCACCTGCTGCCCGAAAGTGTACACAGACCAACAGCAACAGCAACAGCAACAACCACAGCAGGGAACAGTGAACAGTGAACAGTGAACAGCCTTGCAGTGGTAATCCCTGTGTTTGTGTGACTTGACCTGCTTCGTTTGGCCTGGCATTTCTGGTTATAGCCTTAAGCGGCTTTAAAGTTACGTTCGTGCTGCCGCTTTCCTGTTGCCGTTTGCCTGTTGCCTGCTGCCTCCTGCCTGCTCGCTCCTGCCTGCTGCTTTGTGTGACTTGTTTTCAAAGAGCGATATGATACGAGTAGGAGTATGTGCGTGTGTATTCGCCGCATAAAACGACAGGACATTTGGAACCCCAAAGAGCAAACAGTTTGCTTAAGCTCATAGTTTGTTTATAGTTATTAGTGGATAATATGTGTGGCATGTGGCAAGTACAACTGCTCGTGCAATACGAGTGTCAGATGGGAGATTGACTGTCGTTTGCCGTGATATCTGACAGCTGCAGACAGTTGCCTCTTTTCTGTCGGATGTTGGACGTTTCCTCAACGAAAGGATGTCTCCCTTAGCTGTTCAAGGAGTATGGGGATTAGGGTACACATTATTCTATGGATGGAAGCTAGTTCCCATCAAAAAGGACAGATATGCGGGTATATTATAGGTATAGGTAGTAATGAAGTGTTTAAAGCCCCATACACCACCAGTTTATACTGAATACTATAACAAATCCGCTTGGTTAACCCAAAACTGGATAATCCTGACCATTCAATGCACAGATTGTATTAGTCATGTCCATTATACATGCATCCGTACGATGCGATTGCTTTGGGAATTTTGAGGATTGATGTCGCTGCCACATTTGGATAGGCTTTTGTTTTGGATGGAAACAGTCTGAAATCCGAGCCTAATCACAGCCCCAGAAGGTTAATCTCCAAGCACATCCCAGAAGATATTAGAGCCCACAGAAGATGTTTTTACTGATGATCAAAAATTGGGTAGATCCGTGTGTCCATAAGGGACAAACAAGAAGTATCTTTACAGCCGCAAATCTTAAATTTAATGGAATTCTGATGGAACCGTTTACGGAATGATTCGATGGGTGGTTGCATCCTCGAGTCTTCGAGTGCAGGGCATCTCATAGAAGACGCAGTTGTCTAAAGGAATATCCCTGTATATACCCTTGGAAATGGTATATTTTTACCCGATCTATTTATTATCTTCGATGAATAAAGTGCCAGCTATGTCAACTCGTAAATGGAGAACTACTCCCATGATCGCTTCCGATAGTTGTCCATGTGCGTTTAACATTTCCTCCAATTCATCTGCAGTCCTCGCCGTTCTCTTCGACCTCTCGAAGCACGATGTAAACAAGCTTCCAGTGGATAAGTAAAATACTGTCTTGCGTTTCCGGCTTCAGATCGGGCGCCATCGCCGGAGAAGAGCAACAACGAAATCATTCACAGAGCTGGCGCTGCACTCCTCCTGCACCTCATCAGTGCCTCAGTGCCTCAGTGCATCAGTGCGATGTATGTTTCGAACATTTCCAGGGAATTGGAAAAGGGGCTACTTGTGGACAGGGTAGGGCGGGGAGTGGGTTGCCACCGTTTCCATTTCAATTTCACATGGCCATGCGATTTCCATGTACATCGCATCGACAGAACGACAACGACTGCCTCAAGTGGCAGCCGCACCCAGCTCCAGCAACAGCTCCAGCTACAGCTACAGCTCCAGTCCCCCACCGACAGCGCTTCGGTGATAATTTCAAAAGTTTATATAGCCAAACTGCCACGGATTGCCGGGGCTGCTGCTGCTGCTGCTGCTGCTGCTGTTTTTCTCCATTCTAATGACAACTTAAATAAACAACTACCGCGCCACACCACGCTACGGCATGGCGTGGCGTGGCGTGGCGTGGCATGGAATGCCGGGGAAACTGCGGGGGGAAAAGTCCCAAGAAAAAACCAAGCGAACTGGGAAAGAAGTTCAAGTTTCCCATCGACGAGGGCGGGCCATTGTGTGGAAATATTTATTTTCTATAAATTATTTTCGATTATCGCTCCCCGTCCACCGTCCACCATCCACCATCCACCATCTACCATCCACTTCCCGAGAACTGAATAAATACTGCACTGCACTGCAATTAAAGCTAAACAAAATTCAAAGTTCTGGTCATTTGTCGATAAGGCCCCCTCCTCAACTTCTCAACTATATGTTATATAGGCATTATATAGGCAGATCGAATCCCCCTGCTGGCATCGTGGGGCTGTCGGGGGATGGGGCCACAAATTTATGTGCACCGCTTCCGCTAATGGAATTTTAATGTTTCATTTGAAATAGACGCATAAATTTTGCTTTTGGTCAGAAAAAACGAGAATCGGACCCTGTCGGGGGCCTATCGGGGGCCTGTCGGAGGCCTGTCGCAGTTGGAGAAAAACCTCATTGAGAGAGTTTCCAATAAATGTATATTTTTCCCATTCGATGGCTAACAAGTGAAATTGTTGTTATGAGTAAAAGAGTTGGCCCATTTAGTCCGTTGGCGCCGCAATTCCACAGAAATGGGGAAAAACACACAAGGGAAACGAGAAACATTTTTGAATTGGTTTTAATCGGAAGGCACCTGGCACGGGAGGGGGGAGGGGATATCGCAGGCAGGTGGATGGGGAAGTGCCGATGCAACTCGTATAAACTATTCCGATTATGCAGAAGGAGGAGCAGAGCTCACTTCAGGGTTTCAGAACAGAACAACAGCTGTACTCAAATTAATTTACATTTAAAAAACTGTCGACAATCTTAAGTGCGAAGAAGAGGTCTAAGGTCCCGAATTATCCTGTCAACCATTGGTCATATCCTATCTCATCGTATCTCTTTATTGATTTATTTATTTTCCTATGCGAGATATGTTGTATCTGTCCAGATGTATTAGCCATTCCACTATTCCACTATCCTCTATCCAGCAAGGTGCAGCATGCTCGGGGGTGTTCAGGTCCTATCCCTATCGACCCACCGAACGCGTGTTCTGCTTGGCATTTGTGTGGATAGCACTCGTTGGGCGAACTATTTGGCAGATGGAAAAGTGTAAGTCCTAACTGAGTTATTCACGCAAATCCTTTAATGCCATTTATCATACAAGGCGCACACATTGGAAATTCATGTAAAATACAACGCATCCTGGCACTGGCATTTCTTCGACCGGGTCGGGCGGGTCGGGCGGGTCGGGCGGGTTTGATCTCTGGCAAGCTGGCAAGCAAAAACAACATTAAATTGAAACAAATTGAACATAAAAAGCATTCAAAATAAAGCAAACACCTCGACGATGACGCACAGGAGCAGGCAAGGTGCCAGGAGCCAGGAGGCAGCAGCCCAGAGGCAGGAGCCAGGAGCCAGGAGCCAGGAGCCAGGCCGAGGACCCAGACGGAGACGAAGACGAGCTGCTGCCAAAGTAAACACATATAGTACCAGAGCCAGGGACCGTCACCGTCACCGTCCCCGTCCCCGTCACCGACGACGACAACGACGACAGCGACAGCGACAGCGTCACCGCTGGAGAGAAAACTAGGAGAGAAAGTTCCTTTTCTAGTTGCGAGTCCTTTTTTTACTCTGAAAAATCAAGCAGAGCAAAGGTACACACAACAGAGCAGAATGGAACAGAACAGAACAGAACAGAAGAGAAGAGACAGGAGCACAGGCGGAGGATGAAAGGGAAACGGAAGTATTTTCTGTTGATACTGAACTCAATTTAGACGAAATCAAGTCAAACATGGCAGGAACCGAGCCAGAGATGCGGAGATGTGCAGATGGGGAGATGGGGAGATGGGGGGCCGACGAGAGCGGCCACAGGAAATGTTGTAGTAAATCATGTGGGAGCCGTGAGGCAAGAGTGGGAGGAGGAGAAGAGCGTGTGGAGCGGAGGACTTCGGATGTGGGCTGTGGCTGTGGGTGGATTTCCAAAGAAATGCGAGTGCTCAAGACGATGTCCCACACACTTCTTGCAAGAAGTTGACAAAAATACAAGCACCCAAAATGAAAACCAAACCAA